GGGTCACCCACTTTGCATAGTATTTCATGAAGACCTTGTTTTTCAGTGCTGCATAGTATTCAATTGTGTGAACATAGCAGAGCTGCTCTATCCATTTGTTTGTTGATGGGCACTTGGATTGTTTCCAGCTCTTTGCTATTGTGAACAAAGCCACGATAAACATGGGTGTGCGCATCCCCATTTTCGTGTGAAACACACAAATGAACAGTAGTCCAGTGTTAGGACAGGTTTCCAGCTGGTGAGTCAAGCCGTTTGCTCACTCTCTAAATCCAAGTTCTGGGTGTTCTCAGGCAGATCAAAGTAGACTTCATAGTGTTTCCAGTGTCTGGCTTTTTTTAGGGTACAGATCACCAGAAAGATCACCTTTCTTCTGGGTAGACTTAAACCCCTAGCTTTTGGGTTGTTAAATGAGTCCTGTATATACCACCCTAAATTTCTATGACCGGTTTGGAGGGTCAGTTTCTTGAGCTTACCCACAGATGTGGAGAGCGTGGTTATGGGGAGTAAGCCACGGGTTGAAATTTGTCTTGAGTTTGGCTTGACTATCAGCACTGACATCTACTTCTCAATCTATTTGTAGTAAGGATAGTGTTACTTAACTTTCTAGGTGAGGAAAGCTACATTTAATGAAGTTATGGTTTCACAGCATCTGGCCTGCTGTGCCTTTAAATGCTCCAAATTCACTGATGACTGTACTGCAATCCCAGAAGTGCACGGTTCAAATCCACCAGATGCTCTGCTGAAGAAGGAGGAACAGTTGCCTCCTGTACCAGTCAGATCCAATTTGACGGTACACGCATAAAAAAAAAATTCACTGATGAGCAAAATACCCACAACCACTTTTCCTTCTCTTCCTCCATAGGTTGTTGTTAGGTCCTGTTGAGTCAGGTAAGACTCATAGAGACCCTTTGAACAATAGATCTGAACCCTGTCCTGTCCTGTGCCGTCCTCACCATCTCTGATACACTTGAGCCCGTTGCTGTGCTCACTGTGTCAGTCCGTCCCATTAGGCATCTTTCTCTCCTTTACCGACCCTCCCGTCTTTCCAAGCAAATCCATTTTCAAGGAACTGCCACTCTCAGCAACATGTTCAAAGTATAAGAGATGGAGATTTGTCGTCTGCCTCCAAGGAGCACTCTGGCTGCATTTTTCCCAAGAAGTATCTTGTTTGTTGTTTTAGCTGACCATGGGATAGTTGGTATTGTTCTCCAGCACTCGAATTCAGAGGCATCAGTTCTTCTGTCGTCCTTATTCATTGTCCAGCTCTCAGATGCTGCAGTAGGTAGAGTTGTTGAAAAAAAAAGATTATTTTGGGGGTGCAACACTTTCTAATTGAAAGGTTGACAGTTGAAGCTCACCCTCTGACTTCATGGGGGAGAGGGGCCTGGCATTCTGCTCCTATAAAGATTACAGGCCAGAAACCCCATAGAGCAGCTCTCCTCCCCTGCCACAGGAAATCTCTGTGGATCAGAAATGGGCTCTGGGGTAGCTAACAGCAGCAGAAAACAGAGAGAGCTGTGAGGGGTGGAGAATGGTAGGGCGTCATTTAGATCGGGAAGACCCTTGGAGCAGATGGTGTTCATGTGAAGACCAGGAGTGAGAAAATGTTGGCCATCAGAGAGTGTGCCGGGCAAAAGGAATAATGTGTGTATTCAGCAAATGGTGGTTGACTTTTTCACCGTGTACTTTCTTATGTAGTGTGAAAGTTAATTGCTTCATCATTACTTTGATTTATTGTAACACCCTGTAAGTACCCAAGTTTACATATCAAATGGATGATTATTCCATCACACACACACACACACACACACACACACATATACATACATACATACACTCTTTTTTTAAATTCCACACTTAATACTCCTGAGTATTAGTTCCTGAA